AAAAGCGCGAGATGAAAGTTGGATGTAAAAAAGCTCAAATATCACTACGTATAATTAACGTTTTAACTTGTTTTCGAACATGTCCGAAAATAATAGGGAAGTGTTAATTTTATGAATGACTTCTTCCACACAGAAAGTATGGAAGAATTCTGCGATCTTACGAAATTCGAGTGGTCAGTTTTTACACAGACTGCCTCTTAATATCTAGGACTGTGAGGATGATTCAGTCATTTAACACTCCCCCTGCAACGGAAAAGTTCCGACAAGTCAAACCTGTGTTAATTAATACAATTTCACAATATGGGCGCCTTGACCAGATTGGCGGTAAAAGTGTGATATACTTTGAGTTGGTGGCAATGTTTTCTGCAAGGGAAAACAATTATCAATATAAAAAATCAGGTCCTTCCGAGGCAAAACTTCCATTTTCACAACTTTCATATATATTGGTGTAGGCATCACAGAAGGTTCATATACCTAACAGTTTTCCACTAAATGCCTTTAGTATATTTCTCCTCAAGTAGAGAAGATTGAGGTGATGTCCCTCCAAAATCATATTCATCCCTACTCCCTGTTCCACATATGTGCGACATGTTATATAAATAGAGGTAGTGCCAGTTGTGTTGCACGCAAGAGAACATAAGGCTATTTGCTCATACGGGATGACTGTATAATTGTTAAGCCTGAGACCCACTAGATGCGAATAAATTGACAACGCGGTGCGATTTTTCGATTTTCAATAAACAATAACAGTGATTATGGTTAAAGTTTTCCAAATCTTCAGAAGAGTTATTTGGTCGACATATCTTTTAAAATTTCCTTTCATTTAAGTAAACTTTTAAAAACTGACAAATCGTGTCGCCTCGTCCAAACGCGTCCAATGTGTCTCAGCCTTACATGTAATACTTAGAGGCGATGCAAAAGTATTATATAGAACATTGTTATCCCGCAAGTGAACTGCCTGCTATGAGTACAAAACCTAATTTCCTGCAAGAGAAATTATATTATCACAACTTTCACAAAACGTGCAGCTTGACCGGATTGGTGGTAAAAGTATTATACTTAGAGGTGGTGCATTTCTGTAAAAGTGTTATAGAGAGAGTTGGCATTATCCCACTAGCGAACTGCCTGCTATTAGCATAAAGCCTGATTTCCTACAGGTGAAATTATGTTATCACAACTTTCACAAAATGTGCAGCTTGACCAGATTGGCGGTAAAAGTATAATACTTAGAGGTGGTGCATTCCTGTAAAAGTGTTATAGAGAAGAGTTGGTGTTATCCTGAGAGGGAGCATGCTATGAAGGCCTATGAATATAAAACTTTATTTCCAAAAGTGAAATTATGTTATCACAACTTTCACAAAATGTGCAGCTTGACCAGATTGGCAGTAAAAGTATTATGCTTAGAGGTGGTGCATTTCTGTAAAAGAGTTATAGAGAAGGGCTGGTGTTATCCCGAGAGGGAACATGTGCAGCTTGACTGGATTGAGGGTATAAAATGCTTAGAGGTGGCAACATGAAACTTTGCTGAATAGAAAATACTACAATGTTCACAATAGTCAATAGTGGCATATAGAACCGGGACAAGCATAGTGTCTGGGAGGAATACATCTTTATGACAATGTTTTCGAAAAATACATTTTCCAGGTGAAACAATGGGAGAAATCTGCTTAAGAAGTAGTGTCCCTCCAACAATTCCATTGCCTCCTAATTTTGAGCAAAATACATTACAATGGCGTAAATTTGAAGCGTGAAAGTTTGTTTACTGTGACATTTTATGCCAATAACTACTGGCATAAATTTGAAGCAGGAAAGCTTATTTACTGTGACATTTTATGCCAATAACTACTGGCATAAATTTGGAGCACAACACATTTGGAGCCCAATATTTATTTACTGTGACATTTTACGCCAATAACTAATGGCGTAAATTTGCAGCAGAATACATTGTTTACTGTAACATTTTACACTAATATCTAATGGTGTAAATTTGGAGCACAATACATTTACTGTGACATTTTACGCCAATAACTGATGGCGTAAAAGGCGTCTGTATAATGTTATGATTGATGGACACTTTTATCGGTGTAAAATATTACAGTATATAGACAACATTATTACAACATTATTACATATTACGCCATTGTCTGAACACTCGACACATAGCCTTCATAAGGACTATTGTGTAGAAATGTTATCTATATGCTCACATGCAAAAATAACCTAATATTTAGGTATTCCACATAGCTATAAAAGGGTGAAATAAGGACTTTCATCTTTGGTTGTTTGTCAGACGCAAGAACCACATTAGTGCCATTTTGTCGTGTGTGCTATTTTATAAAATAAACACCTCAAAACCATAAACTTTTAGTGCAGAAAATTACAAAGTTTCCCATAGTTTTTGTTAAGACTTCAATTTCATGGCTTCCGACAAAGGAAGACTATTTCCGACAAAGGAAGCCTATTTCCTTCTGATTCAACGTGTATGTAAAAAGCAGAACTAATCCAACCTTTTATATAGTTTTTTATTTCGAGATATTTACATAACATCCATACTCGGCAACCCTTTGCCTATGTGTCTAATCATGTGACCTGATTAACCAATGGCAATAAACGTGTAACTTGATACAATTTAATTTAAAGTGTCATAATATAAAGTTTCTACATTCTCCCACACCAAAGAATTCGGTGTGTGAATGTTCAGTAATACTTGTATCTTAATCGTCGTACGTTTTGTCCGTCTATGGCAGCCTTTCTTGTCGACCTCTCAACTATCGTGTTGTGTTAAATTTCCTTCAGTTGACTCCGCTATCTCATCGTGTTCTATGTTCTTGTCTTCCTTGACTATTGAGTATCTGACTCATACTCTCGCTAACGTTGACTCGACTCCATGATGCATCGTTGATTCATGTGCATCCCAGATAAGCAACAGAGTAAAATGACTGTCCTTACACCGAAGTAAAAGAGGATGTTGCTCTTTGTATTTCAATGAGGAATTTGCAAATCATCCTTTTAACCGTAGCCATCCGTCTTTGTCGTCAAAAAGATTCAACGAGGCGCGGAGATTACAGAAAATGGATTGTCTCTTAATGACTAGCTGTTCATCTTTAATCCGCATTGACAACGCTGTCTCGTATTCATCAACCTTTAGGACATTGTCCGTGATTACGTCAGACTGTTTCTTCACTTGCTTACGTAAGTTGTTGATGAATCTCATCACATAACCTGTTGTCACAATAAGTTTTTTAAGCGAGCTGTACCTGGTGCAGTCAATGACAGTATTTAATGAACACGCATTATCTGGAGTGTCGTTCTGTGTCGTATTATTCAAGCAAGAACCTTCGGAAATATTACCTATCTTAACACTCAACTCATCAACTGAATTTCTATTAGTACCATCTGTACTAATGTCCTTCCCACCGGACTCAAAATGTTGTGACAGGAGAAAAGAAGGACCAGAAAACCAACATCCCGCAAAACATTCATGCAGGTTGGAAGATATTCGTGTGGGCACATCAGCAGGATTAACCTCTCCCTTAACAAACCTCGATCTATCATGATCCACAACATTTCTAATAGAAACAACTCTATTCTCAACCCAAGGTTCCCAACTCTTTTCCTTTCCTCTAATCCAACACAAAGCAACCTCTGAATCTGACCAACAAATTATATTATCTAACTTTATACAACCCTTGCTAAATACCTTCAAGTACTTCTTTAATTAATTTACTTAACAACAAACATCCCAACAATTCTAATGTAGGAATAGTAAGGGTTTTAAAAGGGGCAACTTTAGTTTTTGAAGGGAGAAAAGTCACCATCATCATTGCTAATAAGCCGAAGGTAGACAACTGCACAATAAAGCTCTTTGGAGCTATCAGAAAACCTGTGAAGTTTAATTCGATTTTTCGAAGGAAAATCTAAATCAAAAACATACCGATGTTGCCTTATTTCCTGGAGACCTTTTAATTCCTCTAAAAATTTGTCCCAAACCAATGCAATATCTGGTGGAATGATATCATTCCAATTCAATTTGTCTTTACAAAGCAGTTGAAAAATTGTTTTAATTATTGCGGTGATTGGAGCAATCAAGCCTAATGGGTCAAAGATTGAAGCTGAAACACTTAACAAATTCCGCTTTGCCCGTTCCATAACAGCGCATTTAGACAATAAATCTTTGAATAAAAAAAAAATTCGTCCCTGTTGGTATCCCATTCCAATCCTAATACTATTTTATTATTGGTCTTAACATCAGGTGACATTATTTCCAAATAGGTCATATCATTCCCCCCTGGTTCTAGATCTGATGTTACACCTTCTTGTGATGATATATATGCCCTAAGCTCCTGACTATTTGTTTCCCATTTCCTTAAATCAAACCCTGCTTCTGACATAATTGATCAACTTTTCTCATACAAAACCTTAGCTTCCCCTAAGCCATCAGTCCCATTAACTAGATCGTCAACATACATATTATCTTTTAAGCGCTCCACAACTATTTTATCACTTTCAATATACTAATTAAGATGGTGCTTTATGGTTGCATTCAATACGAATGGACTACTTGTCAATCCAAAAACAACTCTCGAAAACTTGTAAACTATCATTTCTCCAGACTCAACGTCTAACCATAAAAAACGCAAGTAATTTCTATGCCCTGATGATATAGCTATATTCAAAAATGCCTGTTTAATATCAGCCAAAATCCCAATTCTATTTTGTTGAAATCTTATAAGAATGTAAAAAATTCTAGCAAGAAGGTTTGGTCCTGAGTAGAGACATTCATTAAGTGAGGGACCATTAACTTTACAAGAAGCATCAAACACTGCACGGATCTTAGTGGTTTCCTTATCCTCAGGAATTACTGGTCTATGTGGGAGATAATGGACCTGACCTACTTCTCCTGCAACTTCATTAGCAAGTCTTTGAAGATTTTGTCATAATCATTAAGTATACCTTTAGACACTAATCTACCTTTCAATGACTTTAAACGTCCTTCACTTACTGCAAAATTATCTGGTAATGGCTCATGGTCTGGCTTAAATGGTAAATTTGTCACATATCTTGTTCCATCATGGATAATGTTATTCCTAAAATCACTGACAACTTGGTCACTATCTGAGCCGATGTTCTCAACTGCCCAAAATTTATCTAGATAATTTCTCAAAATATCCATTACATCTACTTCTTCAACTGCAGTGCGCAACAAATATGTTTCAAAGCAATGCAGGTTGGGTGAACCTGAACCAAGTCGACCGCTAATTACCCAACCTAACCTAGTCCCACAAGCAATAGGTCTGTCCTTACTTCTAATGATCTTTCCAGTCATGAATGCATGGTAAAAGTCAATGCCTATTAAAATTCCTACTGGTAGGGTTGTTGAGTCACTAATGCACTCAGCAAATTTTAAATCCTTAAACTCTTCTAACTCTCTTGTGGTAGTTGTGTGCTGATTTGTCAATGGGTTACATATTGTGGGGACACATAACACTTCAATTAGTGTGAACCCATTATCCAACTTATTCTCTATATTCAATTCTACAACATCAAGTTGTACCTCGCTATCACTAGTTTGTCCAAATGTCTTGATAATAACCTTTTCCCTTCTAATAGTTTTTAATTGCAACCTAGTCCTAACCTTTTCAGATATATACGATCGTTGACTACCGCTGTCAAACAAAATCCTAGTGCAATTCTTAATCTCTGTGGCCTACAAACCCATTACTATCATTATTATGTTTGCCATCATTGTTATCATTATTCCCAGTACCCTTAGGTTCTATATTCCTCCCGTCAGAACCAGGTTTGCATATTGAGATGTGATGCTTACCCTTCTTACATCGTTTGCATACATAACCCGATTTGCAATGCTTAGCTACATGCCCTGTATCTAGACAAAGAAAACATCTCCTATTTCTAAGCAAAATTGCCTTCCTAGATTGGTGATTTGTTATATTACTGCACTTAGACACATAATGGCCTTCATTACAATATAAACATACAGGGTTACTGTTATGGCTTAGCAATCCACTAGCTGTGTAGGCATTATCCCTTTTCCTAAATGGTTCGGATTTGTTAACCATTGAGAGACTACAATTTTCTTGGGCTCTAAGTTCATTGCTAAAATACTCCATCACTTCATCTAAGTTCCAGACTTTGCCACAAAATTGTCGAAAAATTATTATCTTAATCTCATCAGGCAGTCTGTCCTTTAATATGGGAATTAAAAGTGAACCATATCCACTGGTATCAAGCTTAAGTGATTTCAAATTCCTAATACAATTTGCAACATGAGTATAAAGCATTCTTAACCCTTTAATGTTACCTACAGACCTAATCTTATCAATTTTCAACAAGGATTCCATATGAGCCGACATTAAAACTTGCTCATTTCCAAACCTATCCCTTAAAATAGTTACAGCTTCCCTCTAGTTTTCCGAACTTAAGGACAACCTGATATAGCAGCCCCAGCCTCCCCTTTAACTCTTTCTAATCACGTCCCAGTCTCATCGATGCTGAGAGATCGATGGCGAGAAATTTCATATCTTTGGTTTTGTGCATGCTATGAAGACAGAAATACCACCATTCGATTCAGAAATAAAAGATTTAACTAATTCTTCCCTATAGTTTTAGTCATTATCAACATTGTAGCGATTTATGGGCCTTTGAAAGTCAAACACGATCATATTATATCAAATTACGCAATTGTCTGAACAAAAATATAGACTAGCCATACCTTTCGCCGAAAATAACTTCGGCCCCTTCGAACATATCGTCTTTGTAATAGTCTTGTTAGAATCCCCATTAAAAACACTATTTAGAGTGTTATTTGCAAGCCTGTATCTTTTATCAATGTATTTCCATTTCTTGTCCGACTGTGAGCTCGAAGTGAGTTAATCCCAACCGGAAATACGACTGAAAACCATCAAAACAATGCGAAGCTTGTATCGTATGACCCTAGAAAGGCCAGAAATGGATTCGCAAGGTCAAATTGCACCTACAAGCGTGAGTTTGATGTCATCCCGGCTACAGGAGCTTCTTATTGGCCAATTATTGCACAATGTACACAAGTGCGAGTAAAACCCGACATCTTGAAAAATTCAAAATAAATATTTCTACTTGCCGTATTCAAACAAAATTTTGTACATGAAAGCACTTGAATACAAAGAGTATTTTACACATATAGCCGTTCAGCAAATGACAAAATGTTCAAGAGATATTCAAGATCTTGTGGATATGAAATTTAGAATCTTTGGCCAAGCGGTGAGTAAATATATGGTTGTTTCGGTTTGTGTTATGTTCTGACGGCACTTGACCCCCCGTTTGAAAGGTTATTTTGTGAGGATTACAATGGTGGCTTCTATTTAAAAGGGGGGGGGGTTAAATACTCGCCAAGATATTTATATTAGAAAAATTGTGTCATAATATGATGCGAAAGGGGGCGGACGAAAAAGAGATAAGACATCCTTTCAAATAATTGAACTTGTCAATATCACTAATACCAACATTATTGTGAACCGAAACCTGATACTGATCCCAGAACCCCTGCCATGCAAGTGGATCACCTGTAAATTGGGGAAGAGTTATCTTAGGCAATTTGCAATTGACCTGAGAGCTTACAGTATTATTACCACCTACACTCCATGCTGAATGAGTTGCAGTGCTATTGGTTTGATCGCATTTAATTTTTTCAAGTTCTAAATCTGTCCTAGCTAAAACCTGATAACTTGGCTCTAGACTTTTCATGTGATTAATTACTTCTGTCCCTACGCTCTCAGTGTCAATCAAGGATAAAATTTCTTCATGCACAATACTATATTGTTCGACATTTTTCAAGAGCGTGCTTTTTAACCCAAGAAGCTTTACTTGCTTGCAACTCCCAGAAGAAATATACTCATTGAGTTCGCTCGTTAGACTTTTTAAGTAAGTTGCAAGGCCAATGTGTCTACCTTTAGCTCTAGCCAATTTTTCCATCATATTTACATACAAGACAATAGGTCACAAATCACAGTATGAGACAATACACAACTATCACGCTCAACCTGCAAAGTTAGATAAGCGTTTATATAAATATAATAGCATGCGTCCTTTCCTAAGCACAAATTTGAACTTAAAATTAGAATTGTAAACATGCAATGTGTAGGTGCAGTCGTAGCTGTTTGTGGGAGTGGCGGCAATACAAATTTTTTATGAGATTCCACAGTTCGGTGAGTTCCGTAATATTCCATGTTTGAAACTTGTAATTGATGTGTTGTTCTAGAAGGGGCTTTTGCTTATTTTGCTTGCCCCTATGGGTAGGGCTTTTTCTTTCATTAGTTTCTAAAAAAGTCTATGCCCCATGTTTCCCCGGGGTGGGGGGGGGGTGGTTTCCGATGCCAAGTGCATTATGTCTAAGTGAAAAGTACAATAAATTCTAAAATTTTATCATAAGCTATACTATTCGAGACATAAAAAAATACATTGCTGTTGTACAGTATAAAAATTGCGAGAATTCTTTTAGTGGACGCTCTTGTGTCAGAAAGATGCAGTCATCTTTTGCTCACAGAGTAAGAAGATGTAGTCATCTTTGCTTAATCAGTTAAAGCTGAAAGTTGTATCATAATTATTACACAGCAACTTATATCTAAATGAAAAGTACAACTAGGATAAATTCTATAATTTTATCATAAGCTACTATTTGAGACATAAAAAAGACATTCCTGTTGTACAGTATAAAAATTGCGAGAATTCTTTTAGTGGACGCTCTTGTCTCAGAAAGATGCAGTCACCTTTTACTGACAGATTAAGAAGATGTAGTCATCTTTGCTTAATCAGTTAAAGCTGAAAGTTGTATCATAAGAATTTCGGTACAATACCGATAAGTGGAGTCTTGTATTCCCAATACACATTCCGGGGATGTTTAATTTGTGAAACTATTAACTTTGCGACGTCTATGTTCCCGTACTTGTAGGCAATGGAAAGCGGTGTCATTCCGTAGCTGTCGGGTGTCTCGTACCTAACACTTCTTTTGGATATTTTGTGCAGTGTTTTAGCGGGACCAAACATGGCCACATACGAAAGTGCAGTCAACCCATATTTTGTCCCAACCCCACAATCCTTGTCTTCAATGGGTGCGGTTCCTAAGATGACTTCTACTATCTTGTTAGGAGTGAGAAAGATGTTGTCATGTTCATGAACTCTTTTATTTCTTTCCTTTACGAAGTCCAGATCGGGAATATTCATAACATAGCAGTTTTATATGCCCTCACTGTGATCGTATCCTGTCTTACAGCTAAACTGCCCCTTGCTAAGTGTGACTCTGTATCCGTCGTCATTTCTAAGTTCTGTGATGCCTTTTACAGTGTCAACTATTTTTGTCATGAATTTTGTGAGCCAACTAAATGTGTCTGCATTAGAACACTTCCTAAGTTCAAAATACGCCAAAATGAAGAGGTGTATTTAAAGAAACGTCCTGAATGTGCACTTGCTCGTATTTAAGGAGGTGATACAGGTTTTCTCTTTGGTTTCTGGTGTAATAATCTCCTGACTGTAGGGACCTCATAAGTGGTGTCTGTCCTAACTTGTTTAAAGAGTGGGTTTTGATCCCAGATGATATCAAGTAACACGTCATTTCAACGCATCTTGAGTAATGCAAAACTGAGTTTCCAAAGATGTCCCTAACTTTAAGGCAGTTTTTGTCTATCCCTCTGATTATGTCCACTCTTCCTCTTTCCACAATGTAGTGGAAAACTGACTTTCCCCATTTGTCCTCAATAGAAGAATCCGTTCCCCCAAACTGGTAACTTTCCAAAAACTTATCGGCAGACATGGACTGACACACTAGCATCAGTGGCGTTACTCCTGATCTCTTCCTAAAGTTTATCGAATAGGGATATGACTCGAACAGCAACAAAAAGCATCTTTCATTAAAGGAAAGTGCTGCGTGGTGAAGTGCATAGTTCCCGCTAACGTCCGCACACACACACAGAAGTGTCGATCAGTGTGTCGAGCACTTCAATGTTCCCAAAGTATGCTGCATAGTGGGGCAGTAATTCTCCTAATTTGCTGCCTCGACTCCAGATACGAATTAATACCTTCAATGGCCCTCTTGTTTTGATTTTCTCTAATAGCTCTTTTGATGTTATCAATTTGTGTAGTTTTACTGAGCATCTGCATTTGGAAGGTGGGTGGTTTTCAGTTTTCGGATTGTGACTCTTTGTATTTAATGCTAATCTTCTCTATGGCTTCATATGTTTCCTTTTTGGTGAGTACTTTCGCGATGTCCAATGGTGTCTGGCCACTTGCGTCTTTTGCTTTTATCAGTCCGGGATATGCACTTGCTATGATCAGCACTATGTCATTCCTATTCTCGGATTCGCTTTCTGCTGCTATACGAAGTTCCATTTTCATATTTTCCCCGTAAACAGGCTCGGGATTAATTTCCAAGATTTCAAGCACAATGCCGGTGTGTCCCAAATGTGCTGCTACGCAAAGTGGTGACTGACCTCCCACATGCACTGCAGCCAATCGTGGAAACATTCTGAGAAGGTGAGTGGCTGTTTTCAAGTGCCCCAGCTTAATTGCGCACTGCACGGGAGGGTCACCTGTTGGTGATGTATTTTCTCCCCAACTTTCATCCATATACAACACCTCGGAAAGCACAGGATGCTTTAGCAAGTTCCCAAAGGAAGCACACAATATCTGCGCAATTGTTTTATCTGTGTACTTACCAATTCCCGTGTTCACACTGCCCACCCAAATCTCATAGCAAAAGTACCTAACTATTCCGTCCATGTTAAGATAAACTGCCCTTGCCAAAGGTGCCATACCGTCCCCGGCCTCACACCAAAACGGAACTCTGTTGCTAACTAGTGCCCTAACCATTTTCTCATCACCCAAAACAATGGAAAAGTCCACAGCTGACATTCCCAGCATTGGTGATATTTCGTAGATGTCCACAATAACACCGGAGCTCATAAGTTCAGCAATGTTGTCAGGGTTCCCACAAATTGCTGCAAGGGTAAGCAATCCGAAACTCTCCGGATTCCCAAAACAAGACAAAACATCTAAAATATCGGTATTGGCCCTCAATGTGTCAAGATAGTCTTCCCTGATACTCCCAATACTCATTCTAAACAAGACAAAACACAGTTACTTTGTTTTGAGTACTTACACCTTTTTTATCAACTTTCGTTTTGGATTTGGTAAACTGTGAAGCCCTCCCACGCCCTTCTGTGTCGGAAATAATTGCATCAATTTCGCTAACACTCGGGAAACTCATATCTGGTTTTCCTGGAAGAGATATTGTCTGACCTATTGTTAGCCTCGATTTTAAGAACACCTTATAAGTACATAAATAGTTTCACATCCATGTAGCCTCCTCTTTGAATTGCGTACCCAACAGGAGTTAGTCCGTAATAGTCCTTTGTGTTGTGCGGACATCTGTTTTCAACTAAGATTTTTGCGACAGCATGACTTTTAGTGTAGAACATTGGTGTCCTCCCAAGTTTCGACACAATCCTTGGAAGTAACGGATCCGATTGTATTAGAAATTTAACTACTTCCCTCCTGTCACCATCACAGGCAAAACACAAAGGGTCCAAACCGGTGTTAGTGTTATCATACAGAAAGAACTTGCTGTAGCTCAGCATTTCCTCAACAGTAGCCAAACTGTACCTAGCACACATAACCATAAATGGTGTTAGTTGAAATCCATTACCAGCACCGACAGTTTCTGGACACTCCCTTGAAAGGTACCCCACACACTTAATGTGATCCCTACTGCTTTGCCCACTAATAGTGGCGACAAGTAGTGGAGTTCTATTGGCGTAGTCCAGGGACCTGGGATTTGCGCCAGCCGAAACAAGCTTTTCTATTATGCTAGGTATTCCTTCGCGTGCTGCCAGATGAAGCGCGGTCTCTCCTGTGACTGGGGATCTAAGCTCACTTTGGCCCTCAAAATTTTCATTAATGAAAATTGCTGAGTTCACTTCATGAGTCTGGATTGCGTAAAACAGGGGAGGCATAAATGCAACCGTTCCGAACAGACTCTCGCGATCTGTCTCTTCCAACAAGAAAAACGGACTTAAGAAAATTGCTGTTGTCAATAATGTCTATCACTAGTGAAGCCTCTGTTTCCTTGTCCACTAAGCCATCAAGGAAAAACTTAATCATGTCTTCAATTTCGTAAGCACACAGAACCCCCAAAACACTAAGACCGTTGTTATTGGTACTTGATAGGTTGGCACCGCAGCTCACAAGTAGCTTAACAACTGGTTTGTTTGCGGCCACCGCAGCATAGGTTACTGGGAATTTCCCCCTCCCGTCCGAAGATCAACAAGATAGGGTAACTGGCTCCCCCATCTGTTAACAAATGCAGTAGGCTTTCTGAAGGCACAGGAAGAAAAGAGAGGATGGGAGTATTCTGTATCTCCCAACATGTTAGTGTAGATATCGACATTTTCGGCGGTACCACGTATGTCAAGCAGTTCCCTTAGTATGTCCAACTTTCCCTCATCATTCATGATTTGCTGTTACTAGTAAATGAAAGCTCATAAACAAATCTTAGTCTTCTTCTTTTGCCTCCTCAGAGTCTGCGAGAAGCTTCGCTTCTTCAGGTTCCCACAACTAGCATCATTTTCCGGTACCTTTTCTGGTACTGCCTCGTTGGGTTGCTCCTCAGAACAACCGCCTTCTACTACCTTCTAAGTTTCTCCAGAACCGGCATCATTCTTTGTTGCCCCTTCGGTAGGTTACTCAGAACCTACCTTATTTGTTGCTTCCTCGGATTCCCCGGAATCCGCATCGTTCTCACCGTATTGAGTTCCGTAGATTTTGCCTCCTCCAGTCTGCCGGAATTGAAACATTCCGGGGGACCTTCTCTTACTTTTGCTACCTCCCATTCCTGTGTATTTGTGTTATATTTTGTAATACAAATACCCTGAAGCTGTTCGTGGCACAAAAGAGAATCCTTTTCGATACTTTCTAAGTCCATGTCCGTGGGCTTTTCTTTGTGTTCCTCAGACTGATCAGACGCTTCGGCAAAAACGGAACAGGTTCGTGGATCTTGCTGTTTGCACAAATCTGCTACTCAATTAAATAGGGACTCTTTTGTTGTATTAGCTTTATCACTTTTTCAGCGGAAATGTCCGATACCTCAGACTCTGTGGACTCGGAGTAGACATTTTCGGAGACCTTTTGGAATGTGCTGCTTTCTGACTATCCTCTATATGAGCCCAACTATGCCTTATGAGATCGTCGGGACTAATGATTGTTTCCGGGAAAGATATTTTCCATTTTATTTTGTCATCACACGCACATTTGTCGATGCTAAATGTTTCCTTTGTCGGGAGATTTCCCAAAGGATCTATTTTGTAACTACCAAACAGATTGTCAGATTTCAAATTACCATTCAAATCATACGATCCAGCTATAATCCAATCTGATATATCTCCTATCCATCTTGGTTGAATGTTCGCGTTGACAGAAAGGCAGCTTGCGGCTGTTCTTTCTGATTCCTTCTTTGCTGTTGTTACCCAAAATATGACATCAGATAGGATTCTGTCGTAATGGTATTCCCTGCTTATCCAAAAGATAAAGTCTCTTCCTGTGTTATCGGTAACAGTTGTGTCTGCATTCATAAACAGATATTCCAGGTATTTCCTCGCTTTCTCGTTAAAAAATTTAGACATCTTGGCTGCATTCATTCACAAAAGGCGTACATCCATTGCCATCTCTCTGATTAATGTCGAATCTTTTTTCCCTAACAAGAAACTCTGTAATCCCCACGCTTTCGGAAAGAAAGAGCGCAGACTGACCCTCCTTTGTTTTGGCCTAAATGTCCAGTCCCATTTGCGACTGTTTAGTTGCAAGCATAACCACTACCTGTAGATTGGAGCCCATACAAGCATAGTGAAATGCCGACATTCCGTTACTGTCTGTTTTCCCGGCAGATTCTGGTGACAACTTCCACATCTCACCGACTGCCCCCGGGGACAGTGACATACACGCCATCATGCACGGTGTACTGCCGTTTTTGGTGGTACCCATGTTTATGGTGTGAGGGTACAGTCTAGCGAGATATAATGCGAACTTTTCCGTATCCACTCTATTACATCCCTTTGTTACACACACATACAAAGGTGTTCTTCCCTTTGCATCCATAACGTCCCCAATAGCCCCCTTCCCTTTTAGCTCTGTCATCATCTTAAGCCTTTAGTATCTTGCTGCATAGTGGAGGAATGTTTTCCCACCTTCTAGTATTTGTGCCGCATCAAAGGTATACAAACTCAGAATGGAAGAGAAAACCATCTGACTTCCCTTGACAATGGCGGCTGTGAGTACTCTTTCCAGAAGCTGGCCGAATTTTTCCGTGTCGTCCCTGTAGAGATCTTCAGAATTTTCAGCACCTTTGCCCACACTACCGCATTATCGGCAATGCTCAATGCACTAGGAATTGTTCCCCGAGAACCAAACACGAGAAATTTGACTGCTTCCGTATGGTCACCATCACAAGCCCAGTCCAATGGCGCCTTTCCCTTGTTATCTGTGATGTCCGCAGACGCACCACATGCAATGAGCTTCTTTATTTTCTCTATCATACCAAAGCTGGTGGCAAAGCAAAGAGGAGTAGCACCGAGAACACTAGAATTTTTGTTGAGTTCCGGACTTTCGGAATTTGAGTCAACTGCTAAGTGATCGGCCAAGTTACCATATGACCCGAACAAAACACTAAGAGAAAGTATGTTGTTAAGGCCATCTGCAGTTTCCGGGCGTATTTCCTGTGCTATTCGCTTTTGTCTCCTTTTTGAAAGAGCAATATAGTATTCCCTAGTTTAGTTAGTATTGGGTATTTTATGCAAACTGTGTATTTTCCCTTGGAGCAAAGTTTTGGTACAACGGTTGTTTGATTTATATAATGTGTCCTATATCCTCTGCTAAGGATCTGTTCTATGTCCTCTGATTCCTCACCTGCCTTAAATCCGCTTTTTGAGGAGTAGTCTTATATCCTCTGATTGAGGACTTGCCTTATATCCTCTTGTTGGAGGAGTCGTCTGATATCCTGTTGTTGGAGTCATCTGATATCCTCTGATTGGGGATTTTTCTTATATCCTCGGTTTGAGGATTTGTCTTATACCCTGTCCACTGTGCCTCCTACCACGGTTCAGCAACTCGATCCCCAACTCGTCCACTCAATAGTGTCTACTGTTGCAGCAGAGATCACTCGACAACTGGCAGTGACTTTGCCAGCCCTAACTTTGCCAACTGACCAGTTTCCAGCGACTCGAAGCATTTCAGCGATGCCAGAACCAGCAGAGCAACATCGTCTGTCTGCGCTACTATTGCCTGCAAGTTCAGCCATGACTCTGGTGGAGGGAGCGATAGCTGCGGCTCACTCTCGGATAGCAGGTTCACACTTTCAAACAACTGGCACCCCTGCACTTGCAGCCTCGAAGCTGGGCGATTTAATTATTCATTTGACAACATCTAGCTTACAGCCCTCATCAATTCCTACTTACACTAGAGCTTGGAAACTGTTTACTCAATTCCACAGTATGTTGTTTCAGACACCAGGGTTCAGCTTACCTATAATGCCTGCTACTATGTCACTGTTTATCGCATATTTATTTGAGCAAAATTATGCATCATTGATGGTTAATACATACATATCAGCTTTAACTTATTCACACAAATTGTCAGGACTACCAGATCCAACGAGAGTATTCTATATCATGCAAATGTTAAAAGGTTATGGCAAAAATGGTGCATGACTAGATAGTCGTTTGCCAATAACATTACCCATCCTGAGAAAGCTTAGTGTCACCTCGCATTAATGGTTCTAATTACCAAATATGTCCATTCAAATCGATGTCCTCATTGGCATTCTTAAGGATTGGGGAAATTACTACAACAAAGAATACTGGTTGCCAGCCATTACAGTTACACAATCTCGCTTTCAGTTGTGACTCGAATAACCGAGTGGTTGGTATCAAATTAACCTTTCATGATTTCAAGCATAATTACGACCAATGTCCATTTACATTAATAATTAACCGGCATAGTACTTGTTGTCTTATTCATTTACTCCTTGACTATCCCACCCTACGGGGTGACACCAAGGGTGCAATCATCATCATGCATGGTGGAATAGCAGTAGCTCATGAGGCATTTTCTTTACAGCTGTCTGAAGCAACACGACTGTGTGGTCTGGACCCAGCTCGCTACAAAGGGCATAGCTTTCATATTGGTGTAGCCTCGTGTGCGGCAAGTCAGGGGTTGTCCAACTCACAAATTCGTATCATCAGTCAATGAAAATCTAATGTGTTTCATGAGTATATTCGAGTTAATCAATGTCTGCTTAATAACTGAGAAATTCATATATGGATATAATTATGTATAGCATGTGCGTGCAGCCGACCACAAGCGGGGAGTGTCCTGGTCGTGCTCCAACTTGTTAGACTTGCTTGCACGGGTGGCTATCTCTTTCGTGTACCTTGCATACGTTCTGGCTATATATGTTGAGGTTAATCAATGCACGAGGTCACCAAGTGACAGACATCTTACATTCGTTTTCCCAGTCAATTGACCATTTGCGTAATAGACTAAATTTTGATCTCAACAAAAATTTCATTACAGCTTGAAAGAGCATCACAAAATTAGTAATATTTCAAAGTTTCGTTGCAAAATGTTGTAAAATGCGGAAAATATAGCCTTGCGAAATTTGCAATTTTCAGTCATTTTAGATTACAAACGGAAAATTGACAGCCTCGAAGGGTTTGGGGCTGTCAATTTCCCGTTTGTAATCTAAAATGACTGAAAATTGCAAATTTCGCAAGGCTATATTTTCCGCATTTTACAACATTTTGCAACGAAACATCGGAATATTACTAATTCTGTGATGCTCCTTCAAGCTGTGATGAAATTTTTGTCTAGACTTGTTATAACTATCTTTAGTGTGTGCGTCTATCTCCCGTGGTTGCACGGGCAATCATTAGGAGTTAGACCACATAATTTTGGGGCATATTAGGTGACTACAAACAATTTGCACGAGTGATTGTTTGTGAAAGGTTTTTTATTTCTTTTACTCAAATATGTTGAAGTAAGCCCTTGATGCCTAGAGGTAACAAACCATTTGCAAGGGCGGTTTTTCTGTTTTACGGCGTTACACATGGAGGTTGCATTTTCTTCGGGTGGGGTGCATCTTTGCTGCACAAAGATGCTTTGGCGTAATTTTTGCCCTCACCTTACTGGGCAAAACAATGTTGATACATATGTAAAAGTTATAGTCAATTATTTATGTTAAAGTTACTAAATAGTAAGTAATTTCAAGAATAAAATGCCTAGCGGTAATTGTAACCCCTAGCTCACTCCCCGCTAGTGCTCAGCCACAGGTATGTGCTATACATAATTACTATATAATTTCACTTTTAATTAATACGGCAAAACAAGTGCCCAGTAACGAGCTGCGGAAATGCAACATCTATAGTGTGGCATGTCAGGAAATAGTATAGATAACTCACACAAGATGACAGACATAAATAGAATATTTGCTTGGGAATAGGAATTTTATGTCTGTCATCTTGTTATTATTATCATACTCTGCCAAGGGTGTGGAGGAAACCTGCTTTGCAAAAATAAAAGTTTAGCTGGTAGGCAAATAGTTTAATTGATGGAACAAGTAGATTATTTACAGGGTACTGTCATAAAGATGAACTCAAACATTTCCCATTTAGTCGCTTATAGTCAGCTGTCAAGGCAAGTTATTAATCTTTTCAGCACTAAGTTTTATACATCCCACCTCCTCCCCACGCCTGCATCCATCATCCTGCTGGTTATGGTATTGGGGGTTGTGTGGGCGTAATTTTTGCCCTCGCCTTACTGAGCAAAACAATGTTGATACATATGTAAAAGTTATAGTTAATTATTTCTGTTAAAGTTAATAAATAATAATTTCAAGAATAAAATGGCTAGGGGTAATTGTAACCCCTAGCTCAAAATATCACAAACTCGCCCAGTAACAAGCTGCGGAAACATCTATAGTGCGACATGTCAGGAAATAGTATAGTTTACTCATGCAAGATAACAGACAAATATACATTTTTTTGGTATAGTCTCATATGAGCCTTGATATAAAACATGCCTTCCACATGTGAATTTACAATAAAATCGTGTTGTGCCTAAAATCAGGATAGCTGTCAACTGTCCGTCAGCAGGGTGGTATCACAGTGACATATGTATGTAGTATGGTGGTATGACAGTTTATTGTTCAAAATTCAAAAGTGACATCACGTTTAAGATTCTACTGACAGTTTATTGTTCAAAATTATATTGTGTATTAAAAACCAACTCGTTCGAAAGAACTCACAGTGATCTATAGAGCTGCAAACCATACTACACCGTTGAAAGAGTGTATGTGCGAGATCAAATCCCCGCTCCAATCAACTTTTTACATTGACTATTAACTCGTGTTTGAAATCTTCTCTTCATGCATTTCTGTGTCTAATGCTAATAACATACTTACAGTTGCTAATGTGTTGGGACATCTGAAACAGCTATTTTTTCTTTCTTTTGATCTCTTTGATATATATATATATATATATATATACAAGATAAAACAGATATAGAGTATTAAATATTACAACTGCATAGTAGGTTTCACAGGCTAATAGACAATTGCAATCTGTAGTATTCAACGAAATGGTTTGCTGTTTTGATGAATTGCTGTTTTGATTAATGATGACTCATGCAGTAGAGTTTCACAAAACAGATGTAATGTCATATCGTTCCCCCAAGCAACTTGACACTCGAGACTTATTTTATTGATGCAATAATAAAATTAGCTTGGTGTCCGTCTTCGATTGTCACACTTTACATGCAATATGTGGGACTACTTTATTGAATATGAAGAAGGAGGTTTATAACTGATAGGCGGTTTATAACAGCTGCTTGTAGTTCTTTGTCACTATGTTGTTCCCAAGACAGGTGTTGTTCCTCTTCCGTCTTGATGAACCGTAGGCACCAATTTGATTCATCAACAGAAAATCTGGAGCTAAACTGCCATAATCCAGTCCTTAAATCGTCAACACTGGGAGACTTACTCTGGTCCAGGCATATTTGTCAAGCTTGCCCGGTGTGGATATGCACTCAGAGTAACATCACAAGCATCATTTACAAAATAATGGTTGAACTTATTTGCTATTGTATATGGATCGCTTATTATTTCCCCAGGGCTTTTTCCATTAAATTCTCTTGGTAGCATATTGTTATTCTTATGTCTATTCATAATTTCATTTAATGTTTTCCATAATAACTTTGTATTATGTTTGTAGTTTATTAATTGTTCCTTGTAGTATTTCTTTTTTGCTATTTTTATTATATGATTTAATTTATTTTTATATCGTTTGTATTTGTCTTCATTATTTGTTGCACGCCAGGTCAGCTGTTCTCACGAATCGTTCATCTAATATAAACTTTTTCAATATATTTCGGATGGACATGAAACTTGCTACATCAATATAACTTTCCATTCCGAACAATCGTATGTTTTTTATTTTTGAGATTTAACGGTTTTTGGCAGGAAAATGACGTCACAAAACCTCCATTAAAAATTTACTTTCAATATCTTAATAGTTTTGTCACAGAATTTGGAAGAACATGTCATGAACAGTTCAAAACTGAAAACGGATTTTAAATATCCAAACCTAATCCAAAGTTATTTCACCATAAAAACCGTGAAAAATCTAAAAGTATTAACAAAATGGATTCTAAACTCCCTGTATCTCGTGATTAGATTAAGATATTTAAAATCTGTTTTCAGTTTTGAACTCTTCATGACATGATCTTCCACATTCTGCTTAAAAACTATTAAGATATTGAAAATAAATTTTAACTGGAGGTTTTGTGACGTCATTTTCCCGCCAAAAACAGTTAAATCTCAAAAATAAAAAACATATGATTGTTCGGAATGGAAAGTTATATTGATGTAGCAAGTTTCATGTCCATCCGAAATATATTGAAAAAGTTTATATTAGATGAAGATTTGTGAGAACAGCTGACCCGGCGTGTTGTAGGATGACATAAGTATTTCTTATATAGTGTGTTCTTTTTCTTTACTGATTTTGCAATACATTTTATCATCCATGGGCTTTTATTTTTGTCAATATTTTTTTAATACTTTACCAACAGCTGTTACAAGTTCAATAAAAATAGATTCAATTATATTTTCATCGCTTAGGTTTAGATCACTACGTATTTTATAGTTCATTTGATTTACGATATAAATAACCTACTCCTCCTCCAATTTTACTGGATCTATTCATTTTTACAAAATCAGTTTTTTAGTTTAAAAAGATCTTTGTTGGTATCATTTGACCATGGTTAATGAGTTTATTAATTGTTTAAATGATTCAAATTTATTAACTATACTTCTAATATTTAAGTGTATTATTGAAAAATTATTACGGAGATTCTCTGGATTTATTTGTTGTTTAAAATCATTTGGTAGATAATATTCACAATTGATTTTGGAACAGTTATCTATATTTGCGTTGTTTTCAGATAATGCAATATTATTACTTGCGCCGAAATGGCTGAATTTCAAATTCCTTAGTTTACCCATATCTTCTTCACTGACAATATTTCTGTTAACAGTAAATTCATAGTCTAAATCATCAAGTGTTTGAAATGGTAAAGCATTAGTTAAGCATTTTTGACACACTTCGATTGTGTTTCTGATCTATGCATGTGGTCAGAGCTTGAAACCATTTGCCACATGTGAGACATTCAATTGATTTTTGAGTTTCTCAAATTATGTTGAAGCAAGAAGAGCATTCTCTCTTATGCTTATCATTAAGAGTAGACATTTAAAAGGTTTTTCATTAATAAGTATTTGTTTGGTCGGTAAATACGAACTATATAGACTATATAAGTATATAATATAAATGTATCAAATTTCAAGACCTATTTGTTATGATAAAAAACTTGCCCTTCGATGATAAGTTTATCCTTTACAATTTTCGCTCTTTTCCCTTCTGATTTAGCTTTCTTTAGTTCTGGATATAAAGATTTTCGAATGGTTTCAATTTCTTGCAGAAACTGTTCTGATACACCAACATTTGTGCCTTTCAGCTTCCTTGGGTTTTGTCACACAAATTCCCTGTCTTGGTGATAATTAAACTTAATCATTGGTCTCTGTTTTTGGTTTTCTTCTCTCTTTCTCCCAATTCGATGAGATCGATCAATCTTTACTTTGGTCTTGTGCGTCTTCCATTCCCATTTTAGTTTCCTGCAGTCTGTGAATCATTTCTGTTGTAATCCTCTTTGTCACTTTCAGGCATGTTAAAAAATAATAGATTGTCGCGCATTGACCTTGTTTGTAGATCAATTACTTTCTCGCGCAACGTGTTCTCGGAGCGCTCTAAATTTTCGATTCTTTCCACTGCTTTTACTTTTTTTCTTTTTTCCACTTTTTTTCACATGGAGATGGTTACAAATTCATTTTTATTTGGGTGTTTATTGAAGTAAATATGGTACTGGAAGCAAGTCATATGACCATGATAGAATTAAGAAACATGCCCATATCATAAATCACAAATTTCATAAAAACTGTGTGCATGATGAATGCATTTTTTATAGCAAAGTTCATTTCACTGAATGCTAAAAGTATATTAGATAAGAATGTGTACACAAATGAATATATAGTTATAACGTATACATGCATGTATTCAGTGCTACATCATCTACACACATAATATAGAATGATTAAATGCCATTGTCTTACCATCGGTGTAAAAGACCCCCGTAGCTAAATCCCTGGGTAAATATAACGTCTAATTTCATGCACACTCCCCCTGATTAAATGACACATGTCCGTTAATGTCAATGATCACAGTATATGTATTTGTGATAACAAACAAGAACTTATCATCCATGTTTGCTCTGCTGCTTTCTGGCTTTGATAGCTGCAACTCGTTCTGACCTTCTTACTGAACACTTGTAGTTTCGTCAATGCGAGATCCCTCAACTGGATATATTTTCTGAATGTGTCACTGCAACGTTGTTTCTTTTCCTTTGTTCCATATTCTGAGTGCAACTGCTCTAACCTGACCATCGTTTCCTTTGAAAAGTTTTGCAACCTTTCCCAATCTCCATAGATTCCTTGGAGTCTCCTTTTCGGATTCTCCTTCGCACTTCTTCCAACTCCTTTGACACAACGATGTTCTCTAAGCTCTAACAAATACTTGCGACTCCATCTTTTCCAGAAATGTTCTAATAATCCCTGAGCCGACGACACGAAGCACCATGCGAGGGTACTAATTCCCCCGGCTATTTATATCCAAAGAAACGAAAGCATTAGCCAAGTCTAAAATTCGTCAATGAGCGCGGGCATGGGTTACCGTGAGTGGTTTGGTGGGTGGTCATCCTCACTGATCTCAAAAATATGGCGGACTGTCATGAATAGCGGACACTGATTAGTCCAATTTAAAGTTTGCATTATAACGACTGCATGACGACAGCGAAATAGCAAACATTTCTTGATTTGATGATTGATAAATTTCTTGCAAATATATTTCATTTTTGCTCGCATTTTTGCAAGATTTTGTAAATTTTAAGAAAGGGCGAAAGAATCGGCTAAAATTTGAATTTTACCTTAAATTGAAGCTTATATTACATATAATATCATACCTAACATATATACAGTGCCCATATATACCTAATATAAAGTAAATTGTCAAGATACCAAATTTCAGATGTTGTTTTTCGTGAAATTATCAAACGAAGCTCGCTTGGTAACTTTGACATCATGATAGGTGCCAAAAAACTTCCATAGATCTCCGAATTAACTCCCAGGTGATCTTTAGTGATCGAACATTTCCCTTAATTGAATCATAGACACTCCTCAGACTCACGACATCCTGTAGACTTGATACACTTGGTAACCTCAGTAGTTTATTGACACTTGTATTCGGAGTAGCAACACCACTTGTGCTGGGTTCACTTGCTTGTTGTGTAAATACAACACTTTCGATTTGAAAAATACACTCTTTAATATTACATTTAAAATCGCCGCTATACTCGATTTCCTTCTCAAGATCGAACTTTGTTCCCTGAAGAATATCTTCGCCTAATTTTGGGAGTTTTTCCAACTTCTCATGTAAAACATCTTGATATGAATGAAGAACACTGATTTGATTTTCATCAAAGCTTTCAATAACTTGCTTTGCCTTGGAAATTGTTTTCGTCATATGCGTTTGATGATCCGCTCGTATTTTCCTTTTTGCTATCAGACATGATGTAAAAAACATTGAATTTCTAATTTCCTTTTGGAAATAATCCGGTTCGAAGGACCATGTACAGAAAATCTGTTTATTATTGAACTAAACTCGATATTAGATTATAGTTTTTAGAAGTGAAAACTATAATTAACTATTATTGAACAGAAGACCTTGTGCAAAACCCCCCAGAGCTAAATCCCCGGGTAACTATAACGTCTAATTTCATACAATTCAGACCGGCATTCAGACCTGGGGGAAAAAGTGAGACAAGTGAAAACAAAGGCACAGAAACCACTGGGAGAGAAATGGGAGGCTGTTGTATACAATGTTCCTTGCAAATGTGATGAGGCAGTTTATGTGAGAGAGATTTGCCACTTATTTGGAACTAGAAAGAGCATATGTATATGTATATGTATATAAGAGGAGTGCCCAATGTCCAAAAAATGTTTGCTTGAGTCCATTGTATATCAAGCTACAGTTTCTACCAACGACAATAGTCCACCTCAAACATACGTTGGTGTTACTGAAAACTCTTTTAAAACTAAATACTACAACCACAAAACGTCATTTACTTTGTACGAGAAAAGGAACTCCACACAACTTAGTAAATATGTCTGGCAGTTAAAGCGCAAAGGAATTGAATTTAACATCAAATGGCAAACCTTGAAACGGGCCAAACCCTACAGCCCTGCTTCGAATAGATGTAATCTCTGTATGTGGGAAAAATACTTTATTATATGTAAACCTTAATTGGCTACTTTGAACAAACGTAATGAATTAGTGTCTTCATGTAGACATGCGAAAAAATTTCTTTTAGCTAACATTTAAAGACGGGTTACAGTACGTGCTGCGCATGTGCGATTCTTTTTGTTTTGGTAGACTACTTATCTCTCGTTTCCATGGTTTCCAGTCCGATTGCGTAATATACGCGCGATTCTATATTTGTTGATACAAGGAGTGGGAATACACAGTTTCGAAGAGATTTTCAACGATTTGTGACTTTTATGAAGTGAAATCCGATTAATAACAAATCATTGAAACAATATGAGAAGAAGGAAAGAATATTACGCCAACAAGGATGCCTTTAAAGTGTGTTTATTTGAAATTCAGTCAAGCGCTTCGCCATGTCGAAGTTATACTGTCATATAAAGGTAAATATTTGTTTTATACATTTGATTATTTCGTTCTCCAGAGTCGAGACTGGATCTCTAATTCGCTGTGAATTTGTGACAATTTTTAAGCTAGGGCAATTTTGTTCATTTACTGTCTGAGAAAAGATGGGATCTCTGAGTTTATAATTCAACTTGTTCGAGACATGTATTGATGTGTATTTGTAGTACAAGCTAGCTTCACCTCGGCTAAGCACTATAACTTAATTCAGTCAAGGTTAAAACTGATTTCATCTTTATATGGCGAGCTGTTATCAAAATGCTACTGGGATTGAGTTATTGGATGATTATTGTTTTGTAATTCATAAATCAGGCATCTCCAGATGAACTTTCTGGTAGCAGAATATATTGAATTTTTATACATGACATGATTGAACATATATACTGAATAAAATTTCTATTATGCTGTACTATAG